TGATTTTTTCTTCGTCTTTTTCAACTAACTTCCTGAATCATTCGTTTAGACATAAAAAGGTTATTTACAGATGTGTAGAGATATATAATCATATCACGTGACTTATTTTATATTTGTTTTTGCTATTACTATTATTATTATTATTATTATTATTATTATTATTATTATTATTATTATTATTATTCGAAGACCTTATTTGACTTTGAAGACTACATACATAGTAGAGGAAGTCAACATGTTTGATTTCCAGTGTACACTGATAGTTAGTTCGTTAGTTGTTGACATGTTAAATTTTTTTTAATTCGTTTCTTTCCTGTTAACCATGTGATGATGTTTCGTCTAAATGAATTTTACATGTATATCATACCAACCTCAAAAAAGAATTGAAGAATTTCGTAGGTGAACATGGAAATCGTTATTACAGTACATCTTTAATAGTGAGTGAGAGACAGAGAGAGGAAAGTTTCAAAAATAAGTGTAAACTATAAAAGAGATTATAAAATCAAATAACCAATGTCAACTCATGATGAAATCCTGTAACCAATCAATGAAATCCCTACAAATCAATACTTGAATATCAATGAGATGCTCCCTAGCGACTGGCCCTATTCAGGTAGGTAGTTACCTGGGGTTCTGGTGGGAAGTCGTGACCAGTAGGGTGCAGAAGGTCGGGTGTGAGGACAAATACTTGTCGGAGACAGACATTGGCCAGGGGTTGCGCTATGCCGTGAATTGGCAGAAGCTAGAATTCATGGGCTGGCCATTGAATCGGGTCCAAGTGGCTTAGTAGTCTACGAGCTTGCCTTGTAACCAGAAGCTACTGAGTTCGAACCCGGGTCGTGGGTGAGTACTGATGAAGTGTCTCAAACTAGGGCGAAACAGCTGTTTGGTACTCCGGGGTTTTTCAATAGTTCTCTAGCCGATGTCAGCTCATTATAAATTATTTAAATTAATCCCAGCGTGTTAAGAAAATCAAAACAAGATTTTTCTGAACGTTTCGCCGTGTAAGCCACAGCTTCTTCAGCAGATTTGTTCAGAAAAATCTTGTTTTGACTTTCTTAACACGCTGGGATTAATTTAAATAATTTATAATGAATCAATCTGACTCGGCGCTCAAATTATTCCAGGAAATTCGTAACACCTACGGTCTGGAAACCTATGATGTCAGCTCATGATGAAATCCTGTAACCAATAAATCAAATCCTTATAAGCCGATACTTGAAAAGAGGAACAGTCAGTCGATAAGTTTGTAATACTAAATCGATTGAATCGGCCGGGACGATATGTGTTACGCATGGCGTGCCTCGTCGAATAATGTTAGTTTGGGAAAGAATGAAGCCTTTAACTGTTGGCTTAAACCAGGTAATAGGGTTCTTCTAGACGTTAAGAACCAGTGACAGCTTGACACATAGTAATACAACCCAAAGACATTCTCATTGGCGCAAACTCAGTGACTCTTTGTAATCCTTTAGGTCCATTCTTCTTCTTCTATGATAGTTATTCTTTCTCCCCTACATTTCTGCTCATATTCCGTACAGATTTCTTTTTCCTACCTCTCTGTGATATGTATATGAGGTGTGGTAATTCGAAATGCTGTACTTGTTTGTGCAAAGTTCTACGTTAAAAACTTAGTCACTCAGTTGGTTGTGTTTTGTTTGGTATGGCAGTCTTTAAAACATTTGAACAATTCAACTGGCTCCTTTTCACGAACTTATACTGTAGTCAGTATAGCCAGTGGCTTATAACCTTCATCCTTTCTTCTTTGCTTTGTTTGAAATTAGAGACAACGTTTGCAATCCTGGCTACAGTTGCATTACCATTCTAATTAGAGTTAAATGATGACCGACTGTAAGCTGGGTGAATTTCTCCGTAAAGTATGTTCCACCTATCGCTCCAGCCGTTCTGTCTCATAAGTTAATAAAGTTCTATCTTTCTCGGAGATGATTTTAATTGCTACAGAACCTGCCCAAGTAGCTAACGGATAGAACTTACTGTTGATGAATTATCTTTTGCTACCCACCATATTCGCAGTTGTTGCAAAGGCGCCATCACACATTCAGCTATCGTTCCACATCATGTCCAGAACCTGTCGGATTTATTCTCAGTGCTTTAATATGTTCATAGGAAACTTAAGAAATCTACTGGTAGGTACAGCAGACTTTTTGTGGTGTTAGGCTACTGCAAGGTGAATTTTGTTGTCGTAGTGTGATGTGTATTTAATTGTCTTCTTCCTAAATACAGACTTCTTTTTCTCATCAAAAGCTACACACGTAAGGGCCTCACATCTGCTTACATTCTAGATTTATCCATTCGCAGGTATACATGTGGTCAGACTGATACATTATCTAAGTCCGTATGAACGTTCTGGAAGGGATGGTTTATCCTCCACTGACCCCTCTCCTATTGGTAACTCATAGCTAGGCGGTACATGTGTATCCAACCTTGGCCTAATGTTGGTGGTGTGGGGAGAGATAATGTTCCTCCTTATTGTTCAAATTTGATGGCGACTCAGAAAGATGATTGTATAAACTGAATTGTGATAGAGCATCACTTTGGTGTATGTTCGGCAACATAAGTCTCCACAGATAACCCAGTATGCTCTTCCTTGTCTCCAGCTTCCCTAATTGAATATTAAATTCACCTGCTAAAATCACACATCTAAGCGTTTCGCTTTTGGCAACTAACTAGACAGGTTCTGATATAACTCATCTTTTGCAGTCAACGTATAAGTGAAGATTATGAAAAGGCATCGACGAGAATCACAATCTACCCTTATTTTTAAGCGTCCGTTCAGTTGGATTACATGCACACATGTAACTGTCCTTCCCTCTCTTAATCACATATTGGATGGTGTTCAGAAGTTTGACGATAAACACTGCCTAATTGTACGTCCAGTGTAACTAACTTGCTTTACAGGAGTAATCTAACTGATAGATACATAAAGAGGAAGCAAAATTAGTTAGTCTATTTTGTTTGGTTGTGACCGGCAGTAGAATCTAAGATGCGCACTTCGTCCTATTTGAGACTCGTCGTCTGAATGCACCTGCATTCCCAATGAGTGGTGGCGTTCCCACTGAAACTCAACATAATCAATCAAAGGAAAATACAAAATTAACCTAAAAACAAGTAGAAAACAGAAAGATTGAGCGAAGAAGTATTTACTTTTCAATTAGATCCTCATCTCACTCTGGCTCTACTCTAATACACATATATAGCATTTTTATTACAATACACAACAGTTTACCGATCAAGTGGCACTGATATGTTTGTTAACAATAATTAGTCAGTGTCAAAATGTCAATGGGTTGATAATAAACAAAGAAAATCAATACACATTTAAAAGGTAGAAATGGTTAGAATAAATTAATTTTACAAAGATAACACGTAAATTAAAGATGAAGTAGTCAGAAAAATAAGATAATTTGGACAATTATAGTTTTTAAAAGTTTATGGGGAGGGGGCGAAGTAGTCCGGTTTTGTACAATCATGTAACAATGGCCAAGGTAAGGGAAGTGGCTGTAGAAATTTCTTCTGAACACACAAGTTTGGCTTCTTCAGGTGGGTTCCAGTTGCTTCAGCTGTATGTAGATTACGAACTCGCAGAGCAAAATTAAGATTAGTAGGAATACGATAAATAATTTTAAATGCAGTACTCACATCAATCTTATGCTCAGTATCAACGAGGTGGGCTAAAATAGAACTACGAATAGATCTTTTTTGTCCCTTGCTTAACTACGTTGGATGATGTTCGGAAATACGACGATGAATTGTATTGATTTTCTTCGTTAATTATTAACCCATTGACATTTTGACACTGACTAATTATTGCTAACAGACATATCAGTGCCACTTGATTGGTAAACTGTTGTGTATTTGATATGTATCCACATATATATATTTATGTGTGTGTATGTTGGTCTCTCTTTCTGTTTGCTCGGTTAGACTGTGACCACTTCACTTGTATGGACTTGTCTCCTTTAATAATGTGTATTCTCCTTATATTATATTATATATAATATGAGTGTTTGTTGACAGTCCGTTGCTTGGTGACATATATCCATATTTGTTTGTTGGCATGTCTGCTATATTCGCTATGTATAATTGGATCGACACTCCATTATAATTAGCCATTCATGTTAAGACTGTCTAATGATTTTTCCCACGCTTGTCTGAATTATTTATATATATTCCCATTCAAAATTTGTGTGAACTACTTTACTTTACAACTACTTTACTTTACAACTACTTTACTTACTTATCACTTTGGTGTGAGACCATTTATTTTCGTCTCCTTGTGTTTGGACAATAGAAGTATCATCGCAAACCTAGTGGTCTTCTGATTTCCGCCTTCTCGCGTCAGGACTATTAGTTTCTCGACCAGACCATAACAATAATCTAGCGACGAGTACATAACAGTATTGTAATAAAAATGCTATATATGTATATTAGAGTAGAGTCAGAGTGAGATGAGGATCTAATTGAAAAGTAAATACTTCTTCGCTCAATCTTTCTGTTTTCTAAATGTCTAAATGGGGTTTTTTCTATATTAAAAACAATTGATCATATGTGACTCACTTGTTTCTTTTTTGGATAATTCAGAAACAGTGAAGATATACGCGTGTATATTGTGCAAATTTCGCTTCTTCTTCTTCTTCTTGTTCTTGTTCTTAGTCGGTCATCTACAAATTCTTTTCTATGATCGACGCATATATCGTATGACATTGATTGAGGGGGAACACACGGTGTATACGTAAAATATACTTAAGTGATTGAGTCATTTATCCAGTCCTTCGTTTTTTATGCTTTTATATTTGTGTGTGTGTGTGTGTATGTCTGTGTATGTACTTGAGGTGGTAATTGAAATATTAAGTAACAGAGTAAAAATGTCAATTCACCGTAGCATTTATTATAAGTTTGCATTTTTCAAGAAGAACTATCTGGTTTTTCTGACAGTAATTTCATTTTATTAATGTTGATTTTTTTTTAAACATTCCTTTTAGATCTGGTTCATGTAAAAAAATTGATGAATACTTACAGAAATATCAAAATCCAAGTCAAGCAGATGGTTTAATGCGACTTCAAAATGAATTAGATGAAACTAAAGTTATTTTGGTAAGTTGCTTAAAATTATCCCCGCCGCCCTCCCCTGTAGAAAGTGTTTGTGAGTCATGGAAAATTATGTGATTGAATGCATATATTTTCTGTCGTTTTTAAGGTAAAGCAAGAAGTCCATGACAGTGAAATTGTGCTATAGTGTGAATACAAGAACAGTTCGATTTTTCTTTAAATGTTGAGTTTGTGATACTTTGATTAACTTCACTTTGATTTTATGATAGACCTATTATCACAGCTACAAGAGTGTTGGATACATCTTACGTCCTAGTTCGACAGTGATCACTTATACCCGAATACCTAGATGGAGCCAAATTATCGTTATTATTATTCTTTAGGGTTCCGAGTAGAACATAGGGTTCCAACAAGACATCTCCATTTTCTCCTGTTCTCTACATTCCTCTTTAGCTGACTTACTCATAGATTATCTGCTCCTTCATGTCACTTCACTCGTAGTTTTCCATTCGTGTTCCACTCTTAGGGTCTGGCGCGCGATGTCACCTAACTGTCTCGTCAGCGTGTGTCTTATCCATCCCCTACTTCCTTCTGTCTGTCTATCTGTTTACGACATAGAACTTTACACCGATGTGCACCAGTTCAAGTCGCCACACTCCCCACATGTAGCACACAAAGCAAGAGAAGAGAGAGACAGTAAACAGAGGTGTGAGACAAAGGAATAGTAATAACGAAGAACAATATAGTTTCATTGGAAATCATAAGTCACAGGGAGTGGATGCATCTGCGCTAGCCATTGAGAACGATTTTGAGCCATATCACCAATAGTTTCCAGCCATTGGTTTTTACTCTCCCGAGGACCCCAACCAGAAAGCCTGTCCACACCTTCCTACGTGGCAGGCTTAAACTAGCTGTTGTGGATTTCATTGAATGCTGAAGTCATGTTTTGGTTTGACCGCTGCTGGTTCTTTTTCAGCCTGACCCTATGTCAGCTAACATTGCCTGTCAGTTGAGGAAGGCGATGACTAGGCCTACGGAACACCTATCCTAACCATCTCAGTGGATGTATCTTCACAGCCTCGTCGATTGATTTCCCCTCCTTACCTAGCACTTGACCGATGCCTAACCTCAATGTTGCTCACCTTATTATACCACTTCACACGGGAGATAGAACGCAGGCACCTATGATCAAAAACAGCTAATCTTTTCATGTCTTCTTTTTCATTCTATATATTTGTTGTGAGATAAATAGGTTCTTGTCTGATTGAATGTAAGAGCTCCTTGCTGTTTAACCATTCTGTCCGGTTATCTGGTCTTCGGAATGAATCGAAGGCAGCTGCTGATAAAAGTCTATAGTCTGTTGGGGACGCGCACACCAAGTCTCTGAACAACATAAAATGGTTAATTGACTTGTCATTAGCTCTGAAAATCCAAATCTCCTTTTTTCGTGTTCTGAGTGCAGTAAATTTCTACACTGATTTTCCTTTCCCCCCCCCTTCCACCAATTCTGATTGGCCTCAACATCCCCATGCGTGCCGCCTGACAGGAGAACATGCTATATATACATATATCTTCACTACCGTCTTTAAATAAATGTCTGTTTGTGGAAATTTATGAATTTAGCTAATGTCTTTTATTCAGTAATTTGATTTCATTACTGCGTAAATAATAGAAATAATAATAATAGCCTACTCTGTTCGTTCATCCCTTGTTCAGTATATGATGATGAAAATCAATCTGTCAACAATATTTTAACACGGGTCACATGATTATGTTTACTGATAGATGATGATGATGATGATGGTAATAACACATTCTACGTCAACATTGGATGTGTTTAGTCAAGCCCTTAACAATTTTTTTCTATTTTATTTTATTTATTTCCTCTTCTAAATTCATTTGTCAACACAACATTCAATTTCTTAATTTTTTTTATAAATTTTTGTAACCATTAGGAGAGTTCATATTTAAAACGTTTGAAACAGTGTAGCTTTCTATATCACGGGGATATGATCCAATTGTGTAAGCGTAGGTCTGTGTGTTTCCCATTTTTCCGTACAGCCCTGATTTCTTTGATTCCTATTCCTAATCACATAGATGTATGTATTCTTATGGTATTTGATGTTATATATGTACTGTGAAATTTTCACCGAAGAAACTGAGTTGTCCTATTATCGTTCGTTCTAAGAAAGAGAAAAACAAAAACAACTGAGAAATGGAGTTATATGAAATAAATTATTCAGAGTGTTAATTTTCACCTGTTGTGTGCGTCTGTATAAAAGTGCTGCACCTGATTAAGTCAGTCTATTTTCAGGCGGCAAGAAATAACACCAGTTTGTTGAATGAAGGCTCTTTTTGTGCATACATGTAGTTTGTATCTATCTACTCTACTTACCTCACGACAGATAGTATAAATGCGTGAATCAGTACACCGTTATTCCACGAAAAAAAGACTAACAATTTACATAGTCTTCAGTATAGAGTTAAGGAATACCGTTGCACTCACTAGGATGCAGGTTTACCAAACTGATTAAAGCCCCATGTGGAATAAAGGGTTTGTCTTGGATTCACAGTATGCTATGCCTGGCTTTAGGTACTTTGAGTGTACATTAGGTGGTAAATAATATCATATGTGAAATCGGTACAGACCGAATTCTATCAAGTGAAGTTTGCAATGTGGCCACCATGCTTGGTGACTTGCCATCACGAAGCACTGTGATTTTCTTGTTAGATGGTTGGAGGTCATCGTCTGGAAACCTTGGAACTAGGTGTTTCGTGCTTGTGTTGGCACCTCTCAGCAAATGTCATCTTCAAATGACATTAATTTTGTCAAGTATGCTGACCTGACTGTATCTTTGCCTGTCAAATGTCAAAGTGATTGCTCTTAACTAAATGGCTTTTTATCAGAAATCAGCCAATGGTCCAAGGATAACGGTCTTACCTTAAACCCCTCCAAATGCCAAACAGTCAATTTCACCTTTTCATCTCGTTTGCGATCTGGGCAGCTTTTCCTGTCTCGTACATAGTGCGGACGTTCCATGTCCCCACACAGACTTTTTCTTTTGGTGCAAAGAGGTTCATTGTGCTGAAGTTTCTGTAGCAATTTTGTTTACAGGGTGGGGTTGCTAGCCTCACGCCTGAGAAAGGAATGGTTACATTAAGATAAAATTTATAGAGAAGCGACCTTTTGGGTTGCTCTTCTCAAAATCGGAAAATAACGGATAAAACAATGAGAACAACACCAGCAAAAGGAAAACAGTTCACAGCAAAAAGGGCAAAAAGCGACAACAACGATACAATACAACAACATGCAATATAGTTCAGCACAGTTAACTAAGATGATATCTCAACGATAAAACTCACTGTCTTGGAACAACTTGAACATGTAAATCCAACAATATATACAATTATAGATGTGTTTATGTTTAAAAATTTCACAAATCCAAATAGTTAGTTATAGGTATTATCTGTCAATAAGATTATATCCTCGGATTAAGTGTTCGAAAGGTAAATAATTGCAATAGTTTCCACAAACTCTTGGCATGAAATTTTACAGGAACGAGAGTTTTTATAAAATTAGGGAAACGTAGCGCAGTAGTCGAAAAGCGCGTGGTCCCATCGACAATTATACATCTCATCCAACAGTTATACGACAATGCTGCATGCCAAGTAATCCACAACGATAAACTTACGGAAGCCTTCGAAGTGAGGACGGGAGTGAGACAAGGCTGGCTATCTACTATCTCCAATGGTTCTCCTGATTGCAGTAGATTGGATAATGCGACAGACAACGGAAACCAACGAGGGAACAGGCATAAAATGGACTCACACAAAAGACTTGGAGGATCTGGACTTCGCCGATGATATATGTCTGATTTCCCACGAACTGGAAGATATGCAAGTGAAAAGCAACAAGTTGGCACAAGAAGCATCCAGAGAAGATAAGACTTCAAGTGAACATAGATAAAACAGAGGTGATAAAGATTCCTGGCCAACACCAACAGCAACAACAACAGACAATGGACAACAATCAGCCAGCATAAATGGGAGGAACCTGAAAGAAACAGCCTCCTTTACCTACCTACCTGGGAAGCATCGTTTCAACTACAGGCGGGCGGAACTGACGAGGATATCAAAGCCAGAATCGGAAAAGCAAGACAAGCTTTCACTACTCTTAAGTCTGTGTGGAAGTCAACAGCACTCACCATCAAATATAAGATCCGGATTTTCAACTCCAATGTAGAGTCAGTGCTACTATACGGATCAGAGACTTGGCGAGTCATAAAGAGCACCTCAAACAAACTCCAGACATTCACCAACTGTTGTCTTCGCTCAATCCTCAAGATCAGATGGCCGGCCAGAAAAGATCAGCAACAGGGATCTCTGGCAATGAGCGAACAATCCAACCAGGAACCGATTGTGAAACAAATAGGCAGGAAGAAATGGAGATGGATTGGCTGGCCATACTCTGAGAAAACCATCAAGTGACATCACTAGACAAGCCATTGCTCGAGTGGAACCCGAAAGGGAGGCGGCGAGTTGGTCGTCAGTGTAAAAGTGACTTGGAGGAGGTCATGCGAGGAGGAGATGAAAGCACGTGGACAGACCTGGAGCGGGGTGAAAAGTTGGCAGAAAACAGAAGGCACTGGAGGTGCGCAGCTGAAGCCTTATGTTCCTCTAGGAATGAAAGGATATTATAATAATAAATGCAATTTCACCTTTAGGCATTAATCTGACCTAAACAAACTGGTTAGCACTCACGAGGTGGGGAACATAGATGGCACTAAAATAGAAACCAAGTCGGAAACTACATACCTAGGCGTCATTCTATCTGCTGATCTTCCCTGGTCGTCTCATATCTTGATGATTTCCAAGAAAATATTCCGTCTTACCTTCTACATCAAGAAGTTAAGATATTCTGGTATAAACCAACCCTGACTCCTACAATTCGTTAACTCTCACATCCTGCCTATTATTCACTATTGTTCCCTCTTAGTTTTTCCTGGGCTACTGAAGAAAGATCATACCTTATTACGCAGGATGTT